AAATCCAATACTGGCGTAATTAATCTATCCCAATCCGTGCTGATCCGTCCACTTGCTCCTTGATGGAATCCAACTTCTGTGCCAGAGTCTGAATCTCAGCCAAAGTTCCAAGCTTACAACTCATCTTGACAATTATATGAGTTTGTACATTCACAGTGCGGTGTAATCCATCTCTGAGTTCCGGGATTGAGCCAATATTCCTCACAGCTTGTTAATTTTCCGGTAAGCCAGATAACCTCCCAGGCCAAAAAGCAGGAAGCCTGACACCAACACCACGAACATCCAGACATCTTCAGAATCCTCCACAGACAGTTGAGATAAGCAGATCAAGTTCCACTGTTTCCATAAGCCCATGATATGCCCAACTGGATCTGTCCCAGAGGGGCACCCGGGAGCCCCTTCTCCTGTTCTCATCGTTGAAAGAATTTTGTCAATCGCGCTGAGAGGCCAACTGACCAGGTCCATTTTTAATAATTTCCAGTTTCCAGAAAAAATGCAGATGCACCGTGCACCCAAATACAGACAAAGAGCCTTGGGGATAAGATGGGGAGGAGAGGAGGAAAAAAGTGTCTGTACTCTCCAAGAGCCGGAAGAAGAATCGTGATACAATGTAGATAATACATCTTATTTTTTTGCTAAGTCCGCCCCCATCCAGTAGAACTCAATGAACATATGAACTGAGCATTAACCAATAGCGTTAGACTACCGCTTACATACAGACATCAATCACAGAGCGTGCTCGAGCATTTAAGAACACACCTCCGTTGATACAGAGTTGGCGACCTTACTCATGGACAAGTAAGTCTTTAAAATACAAATATATGAAAAGACAACATAACATGTGCATAATAACTGTGAAAACTACGTGTTTTAGCTCTGTTTTGTTGACTAGAAGAGTGCGTTCATGAATGAGAGGTGTTGATTTTGGCCATAAATACAGAAGTGAAACAACTTGGTGTGATACGCTTGTCAGCCACTAGATGGTGCCCTCAGATAAAAGAAATAATCCGGACGGCTCCTTTAAGGGATGCTAGGAAGGCTTGCATAAAATATGATGCAACATTAAAAAGTGATTTTTAAGAA